GGGGGGGGGCGCCTCATGGGGGGTCCGTGACTTTGCTAGTGCACTGAGTTCGGGATCTAGGCTCTCGCCCCAGCTCTGCCTCCTAGCACGCTGCATGACCCCGGGCGGCCCAGCCTGTCCAAAGCCTTATTCTTCTCCGGTGCAGAATGGCAAGGAAAGTGCTCCCTAGGGTTGCTGGAGAGCTGAGTGAGGAAGCGCTGAGCACAGAGCCTGTGAGACGCAAAACAGGAAGCGTTCTTTAGCAGCTGATACTTTCATTATCATTATCGTAATCAGCGACTCCCGAAGCACAGTGCCCAGAACACCCGGGCTTGGCGTGGCATCTTGGGGTTCCAGGGAGAGATGTGCATGGGGTCTGAGATCACTCTGAAGCCCCGGCCCCTCCAGGTCCAGGTGGGGTACTGATAACCCAGGGTTTCTTTTCAGCTCTGGATGCTGCTCCTTTGACCCATATTTGTAACTCTGCCCTCCTGCTGTTGGATAGCATGAGAGATTCTGCCTCAAACATTTCCCTGTCTTCCCTGTTCTCACCTTAATTGAAGGCTGTCCCAATGTGGCATGGGAGGACTCATAAAACTAGGACTGTTTGCTAGTTCTGTTCCTTGTGAGACAGGATGGTTAGGCGCTGAGCAGGGGGCGTGGGGGAAGTGGTCCGGATGCTGACAGAAGCTGCAGCTGCCAGTCACGCCGGCTCAGTCTGTGCTCGTCAAGGAGGCATCACTGTTCTCACTGACTGACTTTATAATGAGCAAATACTCTAAAAATGAATATTAAATAAAATGTCACCGATGGAAGATCGCTTTCATTTTGGTTTCCGTCCTGCAATTCAATGTAACTTTCATGTGAGGAGGGGACGCTCAGCACCTCCTGGGCAGGAACCAGAGTCAGGGATGACCAGCCTCAAGGACATCGGGAGCGAGGCCCAGAGGCCAGGACGTGTGAGGTGGGCAAGGGCGGGAGGGGCTGCGGTTCCCAGGACAGCTGAAGCACCAGAGGAAGCCAAGGAAGCCAAGACAAGGAGATGGGGCCACAGAGAAGACCCCCAAGCCCGGCCTTGGTGCGTCAGCCACACGTCTCCCGGCGAGGAAGTCCTTTAAGACCGTCCCCCACAGTCCAGTGTATTCGAGCAGGGTGACAGCAGACACGGCAGATGGGCAGGAAGCCTCGCGGGAGCCCGCATCTCAGCTGAACCAGCCCCATAGCAGTGGGAGCCATGCAGGGCCACTGCAGCCGGATGGAGGGCATCAGCAGTCTGCCGCGAGTCAGAGCCGGAGATGCTGGAAGTTTGAGCACAAGAGCACAGAGGGTCAGCCAAACCGCAAGACCAGAAAATGTTTCAAAGGGTGGTGCCCCCTCCACCAGGGGTCCTTAGAGAGAGCCCCAACCGGACGGCCTACGCTGTCCACCCCAGGCCCTGCTGGAGTACCAAGAGAGAATAGCTGGGGGGTGCACAGTCAAGGCGCCCCACTCCTCCGCCAACAACAGCACACCCCGCCGGGGGGCCCCGGCTCTTCTTGTTCCCACCTCACTGGCCATCGCAATCCCGTTCCCGTCTCCAGCGGTCAGCTTAGCACAACATGTGCACCATTCAGGGAAGGAGACATAAGGGAGCTCTACGGAGAGGCCTCAGGGAGAGGCCTTCTTGCTCCTTGACAGACGTGGAGAAGACGTGGGCTCTTCCGCTGAGACTTTGCTAGGCTGCGGGGCCCCTGGAACTGCACAGACCGCGCTGCCGTGAGGAGCGGGCGGCAGCTGGTCCAGAGAGCCGGGTGGGATGGGGGATGGGAAGGCCCTGGTCCTGGGTGACACAGCAGAGCCTCAGAACGAACCAGCCACAGGACTTCCTGCTAGACACTCACTGTTAGGTTAAATGTTCCTTATTGTTCAGGCTGCCTGGAGTCACTTGCAGCCCGAGATTTCCGAACGATACTCCAGCCTTCCTCTGCCAAAGTCTATTTTTCCTGGGATGACACATGTCACCTCTGCCAAAGGGGAGGGCTCAGCCCTGGTCCCTGGGACGTCTGGTGATGAGGTGCTTTGGTTCTTGCAGTGAGGAGAGGTGTGCACGCCTGGTGAGTGCCCGTGGTTCATGATCCCGAGCCATTTCTTAGCTATCTCTAGGATATTTCTTTTCTCTCTGACCTTTGAGGTTGTTGATTACTGCATATCCCACCCACCACCTGTTTTTGTAAATAAATTTTATTGGAACACAGTTACGCTTACTGTGTACGTGTTGTCTGTGACTGGTTTCACACAGCAACAGCAGGGCCCTGGAAGTGCAGTAGAGACCTCTGGCCCTTTCAGAAAAAGTCTGCCAACTTCTGGTGTATTCCACCAAACTTTCTTGAGGAAAAATACTGAGCTAAGGGAATATGTAAATTATAAAGGAATATACATGCATATTCCTCTATTTTTACATATATAACATTTTACGTATATATAAATATATATAACATGGTTCTATTCCATTCTTCTTTCATTCAATAGTGTGCTTACAGGGACTATTCCATACGCTCTCCCTTTTTAACAGCTACATAGGATTCCATCATTGATGCAGCATAATTTCTTTAACAAACCACCATGCAGTGGATGTTTCCGTTGTTTCCTCCAGCTGTTCTTTTTTTAAAAAATTTTCTTGGCTGCACCCTGTGGCATGTGGGATCTTAGTTCCCCGACCAGAGACTGAACCCACGCCCCTTGCATTGGAAGCTCGGAGTCTTAACCACTGGAGCACCAGGGAAGTCCCCTTCTTCCAGCTGTTCTTTGAAGGGGACTCCATTCTTTGCTTTAGGCTCTGACACCAAAGTCCAGGCTGGGGGCTGTTTAGGAGGTGGGGTCTGCATTGCACTTAGGTTCTCTACAGAAGCTCAGGAGCATTAGGGGTGGATGCAGGAGCCTACCTAGCCATGCTGTACGTGGCATCAGGCCACTTAGAGACAGGACAGGTAGCAGCCACATCGTTGGGGAACAGACCAGTCTCCTGCAGGCGGGTCTGAGCTGGGCAGGGGGCCATCGGGAGCGAGTGGGCAGGGGGCACCGAGAGGACACCCCTGGCAGGCTGTGGCCATCCTGCAGCGTCAGAGGCTCAGCGGTGGATGGTCTCCACCGGCCGTGGAGCCTAGGACAAATACACGGGTTGGAAAGAGCTAACAAGCTCCAGTTCCAGGCCAAACATGAGGCTTTTCACACCAAGGCCACCAGTTTCAGATCGGAGGCAACCCTACTGAAGGCTTGTTTCTCAGCCTTCCCAGTGCTATGGGTCTGTAGAGCGACATTCCAAAAGGGAAGTGTGCCAGTGCAGGACCTGCAGCCTCTGAGAGCGTGGACCAGGGAGGGGCGGGGGCGGCCCCCAGCTCTGAAGAAACCACTCTCTCCCCTTCTCCACCTCCACTGAGCACTCACCAGACACTGTCAGGTTGTCGAGAATAAAGCAAGAGGCCACCACGCCGTGGAGGGATTGCTCAGAGGGAAGGTGGTCAGCACGTTCTGAGCGCTTTTCTGGAGCCCGGCCCTGCTCCCCACGCGGTCACGTCCTGGAGGAGAGAAGAGACCTCAGGGACAGTGAGGTGACCTCCTGTGTGGAGCTGGAGTCCAAACCCAGCTCTCCAGGCAAGCACGCAGCACAGCCCATCGCCGCCAGGTGTCGCGCTGTCTCACACCTGTGTGGTTCAGAAGTCCACGGAGGGTCTCAGGGAGCCAAGGTCAGGGCGCTGGCAGGATGTGCTCCCCTTGGAGGCTTTGGGAAGGACCCACGTCCCTGGCTTTTTCAGTCTCTAGAGGTCACGGGTGTTTCTTGGCTTGTGGCTGTTCCTCCACCTTCAAAGCTGACAATCCATCTTCACATCTCCTCGTCCAACACCCCCCTTCTGATCCCCTCCCACCGGTGAGGACCTGAGACTGCGCTGGGCCCACAAAGATATCCAGGACCACCTTCCCATCTTAAGGGCATCTGATTGGCAATTAATTCCCCTTTGTCATCAAAGGTTCCATGGGTCAGCATGCACACGTTTGGGGAAAACCATTGCTCTGCCTACACACCATCTAACACGTAGAATTGCCCATAAAGCACATCTGTTCCCAGCCTGTGTGGGATTTCACGTGGATACCAAGGGCCGGGGCCACGGGGACACAACAGCAGGTGTAAAAGCAGGCGCTGTCGGAGGCCCC